CTGATCAAAGATGTAAGGAGAAAAGAGCTCAGTAGTATAGACTATATTTGACATAGTTTGTCACAACTTACAGATAATTTAAAAAGTTTTAATTAGCGAATATTTGACTTCCTTCTCTCATTGAATCTTTTATTTTTCTAAAGAGGATGTTTTAATAATGGACAGTGAGGTTATTGAATACAAGCTAGACTTGATATAATATAGATTAAATTTAAGAATTTGTTTATAATTTTGATTTTCATCTGTTGATCTTTTGAATAGGTTATTGTTTGTAGCACTGTTCTAGGAATAGAAATAGTAGATCTTAACTTGTTGCTATTATTATGTGGAAAATACAACCAGGAGGTGGTTTGGCCTGCTCAGATTATTTCCGAGACTGTTCCTGTGCTTTTGCCTACCTGAAGGTACACTTTAAAAAATATTGAAGTCATTTTATTTAAAAAGCAGCTCATTAATTTTTCAAGAATTTCCTGTGAATATCTATGCCAGGTTCAGGATTAAATGATAGCCAAATGCTTATGACATAAGAAAGTATTACTGGGGGGTGTAGTTTCCTTTTAATATGAAAACCAGTTAAATGAGTTAAACTCTGGCTAAAGGAAAACCACATCTGCATCTTTCTCTGACCATGGTAAAGGACATTCTGAACATTACCACTTAAAACTAACTTTTCTCTTCAAGGGTTCCTGAAATTGTGCCAGCTGACTCCAGGTCCACCCTGACCCCACAGCATAAACCATGCTGTGATGTCACAGCTACCATAGAACTCCAGGGTAGTGTTGGGCTGGCCCATGTGGGCTCAGGTAAGTCCTGGCTTTTTTTTTACCATTTGGCATTCTTTTCAAAGTTAGTAACCATTACAATTTTAATGTCATAAAGGAAAATAAGGCAAAACTTTGAAAACTGTGCCATATATGGGGGAAAAAATAAGTCTGTTTTCTAAACATCTATGAGCCAGCTCTAAATTCTAACCAATGGAGTTCCATAGTAGCTGTGAAGTCCCCAGTGAGTCATTGACCTGTGGCTTCAAAATATGTAAACTCTGCTCCTGGCCCAGCTTACGGAATAATATGTTTGCTTTTTATTTTTTTAACTGTTTAGCTAGTAATATATAACATAGTGGCTTTCATTTATTCTTAGGCCTTCATGTTTTAAGAAGCGTATTAACCGTTTATTTGTAATTACTTTCGCTATTAGGCTGATTGTGCATTTCATTCAATTTTGAATGTATGATGATACTGCAGATTAGTTTTATAAAATTAATCTCAGAGTGTCTTCAGCTGTCCTTTTGTCTTCATAACATGAAGGAGGAAGGGACAGAAGGCATAGTACACGTTTGTTAAATTTTTAAAAAAGTACTAAGAGAAAGATATTTCGGCTGGGCACGGTGGCTCGCGCCTGTAATCCCAGCACTTTGGGGGGCCGAGGTGGGTGGATCACCTGAGGTCAGGAGTTCGAGACCAGCCTGATCAATATGGTGAAACGCCATCTCTACTAAAAATACAGAAATTTGCTGGTGTGGTGGTGTGCGCCAGTAGTCTCAGCTACTCGGGAGGATGAGATAGGAGAATTGCTTGAACTCGGGAGGCGGAGGTTGCTTTCAGTAAGCTAAAATTGCGTCACTGTACTCCGGCCTGGGTGACAGAGCGAGACTCCGTCTCAAAAAAAGAAAAAAAATAAAAAATAAATAGATGCTTCAGTTACTCTTGGAGGCATTGTGAGATAGCAAACATGTATATGTTGATTATCTTCTCTTGGAACTTTTCATTTTTTCCTGGCCTTTGTCCTATAAAGTGAGATTTTAACACTTGCATTTATTTGTTGTCTTTTCCTGTCTACCAACTCTTCTACCTGATTCCTACATTCTTTTTATCTCCTGACATTAAAAGGTGCTCAAAGTGTAATTACGTGAAGAACTCAGATATTTTGTAAGGTTTTTTTTTTTTTTTTTCCTTTTTTGCATATATTACGATGCTTTTTCCCTGCTCCTTAAGTAGAAAACATGCGGTGGCTAAAACTTTAAATTATATGCATATGGGCCAAATCCTATTAAACACCATATCTACAACAAGAACCTGTCTGTGAAGTAATGTCTAAACTTTCAGAAGTTCTCTTTGAGCAGTGTGCAATAAAGACATAGCAAAAATTGGGATAGTTCAGTGACCTTTTCATGAAATTTGATTTGTAATAAATTTACTAATCTTTGTAGATGAAAATGTACCAGTCACCGAGACTATGAACTTTTATGCTTAATGAAAAGAATGAAATTACATATTCCCCAAACACTAGGTAATAGAATAATTTTCTTTTAAATATTATTGTTTACCTATACTTAAGTGATGTGTGTTTTTCCTGCTCTGGGAAGTTTGGAGAATTTCGTGCTGTCAAAAACTGAGAAGAGTCTGTTCCCCTCATCTTCTGTATGTCCGCCCTGCTAGGGAATGGGCAGTATGCCCGTTTGTAGTTTCATGCAGAGCATGGAGTAGGAGGGACTAATTAAGTGTTTTTGATAATTTTGTATTAGGTCAAATAGAAATCCTAGTTGTGTTTGTGTATATCGGCTTTATTGAGATATAATTTCACATACCATGCAGTTCCACATTGGAAGTTCTGGTTATATTTTTAAAAAGCACTTAATGAAAGCAGAATGGGTGATGATGTTGTACATTGTAGTTCCAAAGTACAATCTGCTAATTTTGTTGTGTTATATAGTCTGCACCCCACTGCCCAGTGCTCATTAACTTCTAATTACAGAAATCTCTCAGAGACATTAGAGAGGAAATCTTAAGAATTTCTGAGATGAGATTCTTCTAGACTTCAGCTATATGGTGAGTTAGCTAAAAACAATAAAGTGATTTGAAGATCTCCCCTTCTTCTAAGCAAAAGAAGTTATTTGGTGCTTGGCTTTAGATCACCTCATCTTTGTCTTTGAGAAATAAAAAATAAACATGAACACATTAAATACAAACACCTACATACATGCATACACATATATACACATACATTGTACAGCTCTTCCTCTTTGTTTTTTCAGGTAAGTTGGTCAGACTCGTGGGTTGTTTTTGGAAGTGTTCGGAACATTTTTTTATGTAATACAAAAAGTTTATAAGTAGATAATATTTTTAGATTAGAACTAAAGACTATAAAAGGTGCATTGATGCTACATATACCTGAAAATAGTCAAGGACTTTGATAAGACTGAAGGGAAAAGTCATTGCCTTCATGCAGAAATGCTGTGGAGTGGAAGGAAATGGCATGGGCATGCTCAATCCTCAATAAAAGAAAACTGCATTGAATTATCTTAAAAGTTATGGGTCCTACCAGGCTATACTTAATTGTTCATTAAATAAGTTAAGCAGAAGTTTTAGAGTTCTTTTTGTATTTGAACATAATAACTGGAAATAGAAAACTCTTCAATCATAGATTTGTTTTTAGTTCAAGTAGCACTTTCTGGTCTATTTGAAAGGCTTGCCCCTTTAGGAAGATTTATAACCTTTATCTCATGCCGTCCTTGATTAAGCTTTACCTTGACTTCTCTAGGGCGCACTGTTCCTCATAAGGATGTGTAAGGTGGGTGGAGGCGGGGCATATGTAGCTGAATTTGTTATATGCGTAGTGAGGAGTTTATCAAGCTACATTGCTGTGAAAATAATTCCTATAAGTAGGCATTCTTAATATAATTGGTTTTCAGCCTGAAGAATGTATATGTCTGTGTTTGGGGCAGGGGGTCATTTTTTTTTGGAGAGGATCGAAATTTGCAGAAAGGACTGCTTTGAATATTGGAGTCACATTTTCCCTGTCTTTGTACTTCTCATATTGCCTGGCAAGGCGTTCCTGTATATCATGAGGATTCAGTAAATGTGGGAATTATTTTGAAGCCTTGTTATCTTTACTAATGGTAGAAAATTGTTGCATTGTACCAATCTGTTACATTCTAAGGAATATGTCTGATCTAATTCCTAATTCAAGATGGCAATTAAAATACTTTTTTAAAAGTACACTAAGAATATTTTTACCTAGTATTAGTATTCTATCCAGCAAACACATTTGTCTTGCTGTAATTTAGGAAGCACTTAGAAGTATTTGGTCCCACAAATAATTTTTTAACAGTTACTTTAAACCCCTTTTGTGGTAAATTGGAAGCTAATCTACCTTTTTTTTTTTTTTTTTTTTTTAGCCCAGGCTGATACCCATACTTTACCAGACTGCTTAGTAGACAGTATTACTGTATTTACCTAACATTAACTTGTGTTAAGGTTAATAAAATGGCTCAGTGGTAATGGAATGTTCTTTATAGATTTGGGCAGAAGTGATGTTTCTGTTTCCCCCCATTCTAACTGGATTGTAATGTTTTATTTTAGCACATTTTATTTGAAATCATCTGGTTCAACTTTTACTTTATTAATAATTCTTAATGGGTATAAGGAAGACTTGGCTGTGAGAGAATCTGAAATCAAAATGTTGCCAACGTTTACTTACAGTGAAGATGGTTTCAGTTGCTCTAAGTTGTTTCAATGCTAAAGAGCAGTATGGAAAGTTCAGCATTTGTTTTGATTCTGCTTTAAGAATGCAGTGTAAAGGGCAGGAGGAGCTCAACACCAGCTGGAAGCACATCCCTGTCTCCTTGGTTTCTGCAAAGTCAGGATGAACGCAGGACCAGAACTGGGGGCTCAGTGTCTCTTGTGACGTTTGGTTTCTTATACTAGATTATCGATCTTCGATCCAATTCTTACAGTCTAATAATTCCTCTAAATCCCACCAGAGCCTGGAGCCTGCACTGATGGTAAGGTAAATGTGTAGGCAGTTCTAGTTCTGGAAAGAAAATTTTTAAAGGGAAAGCAAAAAACTAACTTTCCTTACCCTTACAGGACATTTAAATGATGCATCAGGATCCAGGAAGCACAGAGAAACACTTAAAAGAGTTTGGAGTGATTGCTACGGTTTGTGTTTTTTGAAGAAAATGAGAATTAAATGCTTTTCTATCTTGATGCTTGTTTTAGGGGTTGTAGAAGGTGATTTAGCTGCTATAGAAGCATACAAGTCATCAGGAGGAGACATTGCACGTCAGCTCACTGCAGACGAAGTACGCTTGCTGAACCGTCCTTCTGCCTTTGATGTTGGCTATACTCTTGTACACTTGGCTATTCGTTTTCAGAGGCAGGATATGCTAGCAATATTGCTTACAGAGGTAGGTTTGGCATTTTGGTTAAATGTTCTTTTATATTAAGGAAATCTGTTCTTTAGTTTTCATTTTTGATTTTATAATGTTTCTCTAAGCAGCTTTAAAATGTTTTGAATTCTTTTACCTCCTTTAAAAAATAACATTAAACTTAAGAGACTTAACTTTTAAGAGTATATGCTTTCAAATATTTGAATAGTCACAACAATGTTTGACTCATCATGTTTGGTTCAAACAAACCTGGAATGTATCTGTCATTCTTTAATCATTCAATTAACAGATATTTACTGCGTATTTACTGTGTGCCATGCACTGGTCTGAGAAGGGATAATTGTAAAGATGTTGGCTCTTTCTTCATTGAATCTCCAGCAAAGTAGAGAAGTGAACTGGTAGTTCTGTGCAGCCTGTGCCCTGGTAGATGTAAATGCCAAGCACTATGCCAGTGCTTGAAGAGTTTTGAGGTGTCATGTCATCTTTCTTACAGCAGGCAATGTTTTTGCTACAGTTTGAAGGGGAAGAGTTAGGAGTTAGCCACATGAAATGGATGAGGGAGAGAAGAGAAGTTGAGGAAAGCATTTTTACAGGGCACAGAGATGGTGGAATTTGTGGTGAATCCAGGGACTTGCAGGTAAATAAACATGGCTGAGATGGTGACTGGGAATGGAGAGAAGGGAAGTCTGAAAGATAAGCAGGGGTTGGATTATGAAGGATCTTCTGTGTCAAGGAATTTGAAGATTATCCCTAGGGCCCTGGATGGTGTTAGGTACAGGCACAGGGGAGTGAGCAGAGCAGATTGTGTTTTGACTGCTGTACACTGGAGAGGGGCGAGCCTGATTAGGAGGGGGTTGCAGAGGTGCTGGCAAGAACTTCTGCCAGAAGGGCAGAAGGGCAGCCATAGAAGGGTACCCAGAAGGGTAGCCTTAGAAATGGGAAGAGGGTTAGAGGGTTGGAGAAACTGAGACAGGCCCTCAGTCTGAAGAAGTAGACTGACTGATTGGATATGGGAAGATATAGAGTGGACCTAAGTTGATTCTTCAGTTTCTGGCTGACATAACTAGGTATATGCTACAAATGATTGAGAGAGATTGCCTGTGAATTATTCAGGATGTGACTACATTATCCAGGTTGTTTTTTTTTTTTAAGCCAGAGTCTCACTCTGTTGCCCAGGCTGTAGTGGAGTGGTACGATCTTGGCTTACTGCAACTTCTGCCTCCTGGAGTCAAGCAATTCTCCTGTGTCAGCCTCCCAGGAAACTGGGATTGTAGGCGCATGCCACCACGCCTGGCTAGTTTTGTATTTTTAGAAAGATGGGGTTTCACCATGTTGGCCAGACTGGTCTTGAACTCCTGACCTCAAAGATCTGCCTGCTTTGGCCTCCCAAAGTGCTGGGATTATAGGCATGAGCCACCACGTCTGACCAAGGTAGCATTTTTTAATGGTAAGAGAAATAGAGTAAAAGTGCAGAGAGTCATATTAATTGTGGATTCAAATTTTGTCAGTATATATCTTTCCTATATACTTTTGCATATCTGTTTATTCAAATTTGCCAATATTTGGGAACCACTACAGGGCATTGTATGGGGATTAAAATATTTGAAGGTTAGATGGAAACATGGTTGTAGTATTGTGTCCAGTTTGGTAAGATTCCAGTGAAGCTGGAGTGGGGGGCTTGAGAGACTGAAGGCCATGATGAAAACAAAAGGGCAGGCTTATTGAATATAAATAAGGGAGAAGGGAACTTTTCAGATAGAGGGATCCAGGTTTTAGAATGTGAGATAGAAGAATTACAGTTTTCCTAGTGTTGAAGGCCTGGCTGCATTTGTGTTGTGGTGCCTAGTCGTGTTGTCTGTTGTATATTGGAAGGGCCATCAATGTGGAATTGTAGTTGCTGGTGGTGACAGGAGCCAGCATAAAGAAGGCAGTTGTAAACTAGGGTGAAAGTCTTTAGGGGCTCCCCTGAGGTAGGTAAAAGATTATTACAAGGTTTTAGAGGGGCCATCATGAGTCATTGAGCTCCTGAGACAGTCTGAGGACTAACAGTGGGATGATGATAGAACATCAGTATATTTATTGCAGTATCACAGATTATCTGGAAACTTAGCAGCTAAGACAACAAATGTATGTTATCTCACAGAGTTCGTGAGGGTTAGAATCCAGGAGCTACTTAGCTGAATAGTTTTGACTCACGATGTCATGAGGTTACAGTCAAGCGGTCCAGGGCTGTGGTTGTCAAAAGACTTAACTGGGGCTAGAGTATCTGTTCCTAAGCCCACTCAGGTGGCTTTTGGCCGGAGACTTCAATTCCGTGCCATGCAGGCCTGTCTACAGGGATGCTCATGATACAGCAGCTGGTTTCACCCCCAGCAAGTGATCCAAGAGAGGCACAGAGTGCAAGAGAGTGATCCAGTGTCTTTGAAACCTGCAGTGTCTTTTATAAATGGATTTAGGAAGCAATATACCATTACTTTTGCTGTATTTTGTGGGACACGTGGAACAACCCCAGAACAGCGTGGGAGAGGTGGAGGGGGGGGTTTGTTCCAGGCAGAGAGCAAAATTGGTCATGGATTCAGTCTCCATGGAATAAATACTCCAAAGGACAGAATTAAAGGGGCCAGTAGGGAGACTGGAAGTGGGGGAGTCTGGACTAAGTCTAGACTAAGGGGGTGTGTTGCAGAGAATGCTCAGCCAAGTTCTTTTGGAATGAGAACAGGAGAACATTAGAGTTGGGGATATGTATGTGGGGCAGGAGTTTTCATCGGATTCTGTGTCATGGACCCTGTTGGTAGTCTCATGAAGCTTAAGGACTCCTTCCCAAAATACTGTTTTTAAATAAATAAAATAAGAAGTAAATGAGATTACAAAGGAAATCAGTTGTTTTGAAATAATAGCTACCAAAATACTAAACTAAATTTGTGATATATAAGGAAATACATTTTAATATTGGTAAAAAGGTGGGGAAAATGGATTTAACTTGAATTAAAACCAAATTCCCATTAAAGTTCATGGACCATTCCCAAGATCATGGACCCTAAGTTAAGAACTCCTAGCCTGTGGAGATGGTTGAGAACCATAAAGTTGAAGAGGTGAGAAGGTGAGTGGCAGGCTTCAGGGGCACATCCTACTTAAGGATGGTGGTGGAAGGGGTTGTTTGGGGGGGCTGGGTTTCTTTTAGAATGTTTGTAGTAGTCAGGGTCCAGTCCAGGTGGTTTTTGGAAAGGTCTTTCCAGATTTTTGGAAAGGGCCTGAGAGCTAGCTGATTGGAATAAGCTATTTTTGAATTTACTTTGGGGGAGCCATTTTAGCTATGTTGTTTGAGAAATAGTTATATTCTGAAAATATTTAATATTTGGTTTTCCGTGTTTGAGTGTTGATGGATGGTTGGGCTCTTGGATTTAAGATGTAGTGAGAATTTTCATGGTTAATGGTAATCTTGGCGAATAAAGTCTAGTAGAATTCAATTTCTATGTAGGAGTTTTTTAATTTTTAATTTTTTTCTTTTAAGACAGGCTTTCTCTCTGTTGCCCAGGGGTGTGATCATGGCTCACTACAGCCTCATCCTCCCTGGCTCAAGTGATCCTCTCACCTTTCAGCCTCCCCAGTAGCTGGGATTACTGATGCATGCCACGAATGCCTAGCTAATATTTTGGGTTTTTTTGTAGAGGCAGAGTTTCATTATGTTGCCGAGGCAGGTCTTGAATTCCTGAGCTCAAGTGATCCTCCTGCCTTGGCCTCACACAGTGCTGGGATTATAGGTGTGAGCCACCGCACCTGGCTGGAGTTTCAGAATAGGGAGTCAGGTGACTGTGTGGGGTATGCAGGGTTTTTGAAACATTATTTCTTTAATAGCAGTAGCAGTTAGTTGTGTACATATATGATGTACATGACATTATCAGTAAACTTTAGTCTTTGAGAAGAAGAAGGGGCTGGAAGACCTGTTGCTTCAGACCCCACTGTGGCTGGAAGGCCAGGTTGGTGATATCAGGGAACAGGCTCACTCTGGCTCACTCTGGATTTTTTTTTGTCAGAGTCTCTCTCTGTCACCCAGGCTGGAGTGCAGTGGCGCGATCTCAGCTCATTTCAACTTCCTCCTCCCGGATTCAAGCGATTCTCATGCCTCAGCCTTCCAAGTAACTGAGACTACAGCTAATAGTTATAGTAGTAGTTTTAGTAGAGACAGGGTTTCATCATGTTGGCCAGGCTGGTCTCGAACTGCTGAACAGAACCAATCCACCCACCCTGGCCTCCCAGAGTTGTTGGGATCACAGGCGTGAGCCATTGTGCCTGGCCTCGAATTCCGTTTGTTACTGGCAGATGCTCAACTGTGATTTTAGAATTCTGTGTATGTATTTTTAGATCCACAAATTAGATATGACTGAAATGTAGGGTTAAATTAAATCTCTGCAACTTTTGTTGCTATTTAGCATTTTAAAAAGAAGAAAAAAATAACAAAAGAAGAAAGTTTTAGCCTTCCTTTTTTGTTTGTTGTTTTCTTGCTTAGGAGGGCTGTGCAATAGTGCTCCCATCTCACTCCCGTCAGGCTGAGCTTCAGAGGTTGGCAGTCTGTGTTTAAACTTGGAGATGCCAAATGCTTTTTTAAAAACTCAGAGTGGTAACAAATGGAGAGGAAGAAAGGGGGCTTGAGGTCAGTGGGAACTAACCCTTTAAATCCTGTGCTTTTTTTGAGTCCAAGTTAGGGTACTTGAATCTTGCAGGAGAAGAGTGTTTGCAGTTTTCCGTTTCTCTATCAGCTGTGATTCTCTGCTTCTAAAGAATGTTTTTATTGGGTGCACGATGGTTAGTCTGCTTAGGTTTTCTGTCCTCCCTCCTCTTCCTGTGATGTGTCTGTGAACAACACCCTTTTCCATAAATTTTATGTGCATCTTTGAGTATTTCCTTGTGATAAATTATTAAATAGAATTACTGAATCAGAGGATAAAACATTTTTATGACTTTCTGAAAAGTTATACTGGTATATACTTTCATTGGTAAGGAAATAATACCCAGTGTATTTTAAGATTAAAGAAAACCTTGAGTTATTGGAAAATTTTGCTGATTTCTTTTAAATACTGTTGTTTTCTGCATCCATTTGTGGTACATGAGTTGAGAGGAAAGTTTCTTTTGTATTTAAGGTGTCTCAACAAGCAGCAAAGTGTATTCCAGCAATGGTGTGTCCTGAACTGACAGAACAAATCCGGAGAGAGATAGCTGCCTCTCTTCATCAGAGAAAGGGGGATTTTGCTTGCTATTTTCTGACTGACCTTGTAACATTTACATTGCCAGCAGGTAACTCCAAAATCTAATGTAAAAAGACTTTTTCATTTTATTATAGTTATATATGTGTATATAGGTGAAAAATGTTTTTGTTAGGAAGCACATAGCATAGCTACTACATGTGCATCTTAAATTACTTGACTGTCCTATTTATGCTGAAAGTGAGCATACGGAGGGCTACTTGTTAGTAAATGCTTTTGCTATCTGAGAGGAAGTTGTGGACCTCAGATTATTTTTTAAAAATCTGTTTTACTCTTATTTTTCTCTTTGGTTTTATTTTAGAATATCCTTAAAAAAAAAAACTCCTTTGAAAAATTTTCCCTTTTTCATTCTGGTATGTTATTTTGAAATTAGATAGCTATATTGGTTACCTGGTATTAAGAGATGGGATTACAACATGAGCTTTTGATGGGTCGAGTCAGATTATTTGAACACATGGCATTCTCTTGAATGTGTCATTCCTTTTTTACTCATTTTATATATTTCTACTATGTTTGTGAAGCAACTTTTCATTTTTCAATTCATTGACAGTTGAAAATGTCCTCCAGAGTGTTTTTTGTCAGTTGGCATTGAATAAATACAATAAACACCAAAAGTTTCTAAAATCTTTAATCTGAGATCTCTTTGTTTTGTTGCTGTTTTTTTTTTGTTTTGTTTTGTTTTGTTTTTTGTTGTTTTTAAATTGAAACGGGGTCTTGCTCTGTTGCCTAAGCTAGAGTGCAGTAGCATGATCATAGCTCACTGCAGCCTTCAACTTCTGGGCTCAAGTGATCCTCCTGCCTTGGCCTCCTGAGCAGCTAGGACTGTAGGCTCATGCCACCCACCCCTGGCTAATTTTTTATTCTTTTGTAGAGATGGAGTGTTTACTTGGGCTAGATCTGAGTGTTTTTAATTTTTATATTCAGACAAATAGGAACGTTTACAAATTGGAGAAGGTAGTAATTAAGTTTTCTGAAATTGGAGGAAGTTTCATTTGAAATGCACTCATTCTGTGTGTTTAAGCTTACCCCAGAATGATTAGATTTTGTAAAATTTATTTTTTATTTTTATTTTTTGAGACAGGGTCTCACTGTGTCGTCCAGGCTGGGGTGCGGTGGCAACATCACGGCTCATTGGCCTCCCCAGGCTCAAACAGTTCTCTCACCATAGCCTCCTGAGTAGCTGGGACTACAGGTGTCTACTGCCTCGTCTGATTAATTTTTGTATATATTTTGTATAGAGATGGGGTTTTGCCATGTTGCCCAGGCTGGGCTCAGAATCCTGAGTTCAAGCAGTCTGCTGGCCTCAGCCTCCCAAAGTGCTGGAATTATAGGCGTGAGCCACTGCACCCGGCCCAGAAAAGAAATATTTTACCTCACACATGTTATACTTGTACATTAAGAAAAAGCTATCTGATAACCTTTAACGGAAAGGGAGTTATTTTAGAGAAAGTTACTAGTAGATAATTAATAAGTGTAATTAAGTATAAGTGAAGTATAAGTTATGAAACAAAAGATCTTTTAAGTTTGTTTTTTCTTTGTAGATATTGAAGATTTGCCCCCGACTGTCCAAGAAAAATTATTTGATGAGGTGCTTGATAGAGATGTTCAAAAAGGTAAGCATGGAATTAATGAGTATAATTTACCTTTCATCTGATCAAGTAAGTTTTGTTTAGTAAAGCATGGTGTAGTTTGGTGTATAGTCAACTTGCTTTATTTTTATTTTAAATTAAAGATGTAAAGTCCTGAAGTTCAGTGTTACATTGTATGGTTCACTGTCATAGAGTGAACAAATAAAGATAGAAAAATTTTAAAACCTTGGTTCTCTGCTTCCTGTTCCAGAATGTGTATATTTCTATATTAAACACTTTTTAGAAAATAAAACTAAAGAATTTAAAAGTTGATTAAATTATTCTAGAGACAGAAGATGTTTCAAGTACTCAGAAGTTTATATGTCAGTTGGTCAATTTTATTTAGGTGTTTATTGGTAAATTACATATAAACCATTTTATATCTAGAAAATAGGTTCTTTTTCCCCATGAATATTCTCTAATGACATAGGTATGGAAATGAACATGTATTTAAATCCATCGTACAGAATTAGAAGAAGAATCTCCAATTATTAACTGGTCCTTGGAATTGGCTACACGTTTGGACAGTCGATTATATGCACTTTGGAACCGGACTGCAGGAGACTGCCTACTTGATTCAGTACTACAAGCTACCTGGGGCATCTATGACAAGGACTCGGTGCTTCGGAAAGCCCTGCATGACAGCCTGCATGACTGTTCACATTGGTGAGCTGGCATTCTGCCCCGTTTCAACCCAGGAGTGCATTTGCTGGATCATTTCCTTGTAGTGGCGGAATACTTTTTATGTCAGTTATATTTTCTATGGAAACTAGAGGAAAAAACAGTTCATTTTGGACATTAAAATACTTTGAACATGTCCATGGTTTTTGTTTTTGTTTTTCCCCCAAGAAACGAGATAAAAGCAAGAATAAATGGTTTTTATACTTTTTTTTGCTAAATTTTAAAATGGAAACATTTGAAGCTTTAAAATGCAAGCATTTATTGTTTCTATAAAACAGAAGCAGTATATTTGAACATTTCAAATGCAACATTTCAAGTTATATAGTAGCCTTAAATATTGATAAGGCCTTTGCTCATCTTTTTAGGGATTGATTGATTGATCAATCCATCGATGGAAGCAGGGTCTGGCTCAGTTGCTGGGCTGGAGTGCAGTGGTGCAGTCTCGGCTCACTGCATCCTTCACCTCCTGGGCTCAAGCCATCCTTCCACCTCAGCCTCCTGAGTAGCTAGAACTACAGGTGCTCATCACCATGCCTGGCTGTTTTATGTATTTTTGGTAGAGATGGGGTTTTGCCATATTTCCCAGGGTGGCTTTGATAATCTTGATCTCAAGCGATCCACCTGCCTGAGGCTCCCAAAGTGCTGGGATGACAGACCTGCGCTGCCGCACCCAACCTTATTTAATATTTGTGTTCACCTGAGAGGTTATCTTGACATTGTGTTACAAGTTTTTTTTCCTTCCTGAGGGAGTCTTAAGATCACATTCTTTATTTTGCAAATTTTCAAACCCATGGAATAATTTTTTAAAAATTCAGTGCAACAGATCCTGGTATTTTCATTCAGCTGAGCAGTTGTTAACTTTTTGTCACACCTGCTCCATGTCTGCATACAGAAAGACTCTTGGGTCAATTCGTTGTAGACATCATGATGCTTTACCCTTCAAAATATTAACATACATCTTTCCAGAACAAGAATATTCTCCTACTCACCCACATTCCCATTCCTACATCTAATTCAACATTGATTCTGTTATCTAACAGTTCATAATCACATTTCTCTAATTGTCTCAAAGTGGTCTTTATATATTTATATTTTAACAGCATGCAGTCACTGGAAAAATAATTGTTTTTGTGAATGAATAGTTCAGATCTTTACATTTATTTGACTTATGTGTTATTTTCTTGGTTCTTTGAACATTATCTCATTTAGTTATTACAGGCATGAGCCACCGTGTCTGGCCTATAAGTTACTTTCTTGAGAGCTAAATTGTAGATCAAAGCATAATGCAGTATGGCTGGGGGGTGTGGCTCATGCCTGCAATCCCATTGCTTTGGGAGGCTGAGGCAGCCAGGTTCAAGAGCAGCCCGTCCAACTTGTTGAAATCCTGTCTACTAAAAATACAAAAATTAGCCAGGTGTGGTGGTGCATGCCTGTAATCCCAGCTATTCGGGAAGCTGAGGCACGAGAATTGCTTAAATCCAGGAGGAAGAGGAGGTTGCAGCGAGCCAAGATCTCGTCACAGCACTCCAGCCTGGGTGACAAGAGTGAGACTGTCTTGGGGGTGTGGGGGAAAGCATAACGTAATAGAGTAACAATTTGTGGGCACATTAGAGAAATAAAATAGCTTCCTGGATGACCTGACTGGATGTATATGAAAGCTAAAGAATGAATGTATCACTCAGGTAGTTTTAGTCAATTAGTAATTGTCCTGGAGAGAGAGCGTTTTTGTGCCTCTTAGTGGAGATGGCTGTATGGTAGTATGAAGTGGGTTTATCGGGCTAGGTAAGCCTGATGCTGGTCAGTGCTCTGCCTGTCTGGCCCTCTTGATCAGATCCCATGGTCACCAAGCAGCTTCCTGCTCCTGATTTTCTTGACCACTGCTGTGGGCCTGTCTGTGTCAAGAGGATGAGCCTGGTTTGGTTTCTAAGAGAGTGGGTTCTTGGCATTGTGGTTTCACAGGTCTGCCTTGTAGTTTTGGTTAATGTGACTCTGCCCTGTAAGCCAGGTTTGAACTGTGGTAAATCTACCACTTTGCAGGTCACCTCTAAAAAGGCGGCCAGTAATCTTTGGTGGTAATTTCCTTTTTTTTTTTTTTAAGACAGAGTCTTACTCTGTCTCCCAGGCTGGAGTGCAGTGGCATGATCTCGGCTCACTGCAACCTCCGCCTCCTGGGTTCGAGCAATTCTCATGCCTCAGCCTCCTGAGTAGCTGGGATTACAGGCAGTGCCACCATACCCAGCTAATTTTTTGTATTTTTAGTAGAGGTGGGGTTTCACCATGTTGCCCAGGCTGGTCTCGAACTCCTGAGCTCAGGCCCTCCCAAAGTGCTAGGATTACAGGTGTGAGCCACCACGACTGGCCTTTTCTTTGGTGGTAATTTCCTGATCTGTTGAAAGGCCAAAAGTACATTGTGGATTTTAGAAGTGGTGTCTTTTTTTTAGTGGTGAGTGTTTTTTTTGTTGTTTTGTTTTTTGAGAAAGGGTCTTGCTCTGTCACCCAGGCTGGAGTGCAGGGTTACGATCTTGGCTCACTGCATCCTTTGCGTCCTTGGGCTCAGGTGATCCTCCCACCTCAGTCTCCTGTGAGTAGCTGGGACTATAGGAGTGTGCCACCACATGTGGCTAATTTTAAAATTTTTCTGTAGAGATGAGGTTCTCACTATATTGCCCGTGCTGGTCTTGAACCCCTGGACTCAAGCGTTTCTTCTGCCTTAGCCTTCCAAAGTGCTAAGATTACAGGCATGAGCTACTGCACCTGGACTTTTTTTTGTTTTTTTTAACAAAGACATTTGTGGTGAGTAAGAATTGCTTTGGGGTTTATTCCCACCTGTTCCTCAGAGCTGGCTATGGGTGATCTTGTGAGTCTGAGTTGTCACTGATGTTAGTATCGGGACTGGAATTCTCAGATGGTTGTGAGTCATTTGAGGTCCCGGAAGTCTAGCATAGAGTTAGGGAGATTGTGGGCAGATCTCTTGAGCCTAGGAGTTCAAGACAAGCCTTGGCAACATAGCGAGCGAAACCCTGTCTCTACCAAAAAATACAAAATTTAGCCAGGCGTGGTAGTGTGTGCCTGTAGCTCCAGCTACCTAGGAGGCTGAGGTGGAAGAGTCATTTGAGCCTGGAAGGTTGAGGCTGTGCTGAGCCAAGATCATGCCACTGCACTCCAGCCTAGGTGACAGAGTGAGATCCTGCTAAGAAAAAAAAGAAAAAAAAAAAAGAAAAAAGAAAAAAGATGGTCAAGGGGAGAAATAGAATCTCCCTATTCTATTAAGGAGTGGGTACTAGGGTGAGAAGGAACTAGGCTGTTTGTTTACAGCCACTGGCAAGAGTTGTTGCAGCAGATCTTTTAGTCCATAGTCCTGACTCTTAAAGGATGCTTCAGGAGTGAGCACCTAGGGCTGGCATATGGACAGGTGTCCCAGAACAGCATGGTTTGGCATCACCTCCTCCAGTCCCTGCCACTGGGGAGCTTTGTCCGATGGTTTACGGTTCAGGCATAGGAAGCTGCATTGATTACAGTGATCACACAGACATCCTTACAGTACTGGGGTGGGTTGGGATGAAAATTATCTAGTGGTTAGATAGTAAGTGTTGTTGCCATGGATTCAAGAGGTCAAATATACTATGGAATAACCCTTACAGAGTTCTTGTGTTGAGTTGCATGAGGTTTGTCCACCGGGCTTGTCATGTGGCCAGTAGAGAGTAGAGTGAGAGTGAGTAGGCATGGGTTTTCTAGGCCAGGGAGGGGAGGAGCCAGCATATAGCTTGTGTAGTCTCCTTTTTAAGATGCTCTTTGCTGAGGTGCCGTTTGCACTTAATTGGAATCAGCTGGAATGAGATGTTTTCTTATATAAGATACATATTAAGAACTGAGAAAGCAATTTTCTTTTATTTGAACCCCTCCACCCGTCACTTCAAGATAGGCTATTTGTGTTTGTAGCTAGCTGTGCTGTTCTCTTGGATACCGCTGATTCTAGCTGACTCAGGTTCTCAAGTCTGAATATGTTGTACTTGCTTTTTATTGACATGCCAACCCAATTTCCCAAGGGGCAGGTGGAGGCATTTAATGTAAATTGGGGGAAAAAAATTTAGTATCAGTCTTTCAGAATTATTCCTTTTTTCTTTTTGGAGACAGGGTCTTGCTGTGTTGCCTGGACTGGAGTGCAGTGGTATGATCTTGGCTCATTGCAACCTACACCTCGTGGCTCAAGCAATTCTCCCACCTCAGCCTCCCAAGCACATACCACCATGCCCAGCTAATTTTTTTTTTTTTTTTTTTTGGTATTTTTTGTAGAGACAGGGTTTCGCTATGTTGCCCAGGCTTGTCTCAGACTCCCACCTTGGCCTCCCAAAGTGACTGTTTTTGTTATTACGAAGAATTGTCGGCCGGGCCTGATGGCTCAGGCCTATACCAGCACTTTGGGAAGCTGAGGCTAGAGGATTACTTGAACTCAGGAGTTCAAGACCAGCCTGGGCAACATAATGAGACCCTGTCTGAAAACAAAAACACAATGAGATACTACCTCACGTGCACAGAAATGGCCATAACCAAAAAGACAGGCAATAACAGTGTTGTTGCGAATTTGAGGAAATTGGAATCTTCATACATTGCTGATGGCAACGAGAAATGTTCTAGGTCTTGAACTCCTGGGCTCAGGTGATCTTCTAGCCTCAGCCTCCCAATTAACTGGGATTGCAGGCACATGGGCTGATTGTGGTTTTGATTTGCATTTCCCTATTTAAGTGATGATATTGAGCATCTTTTCATGTGCTTACTGCTCATTCACGTATCTTCTTTGGTTTAGTATCTTTCCACATCTTTTGCTCATTTTTAAATGGGTTGTCTTAATATTGATTTGCAGGTGTTGTTTGTATCAGGTCCCTCATTGGATATCTGCTTTGCAGATATTTTTCTCTATTCTGTGGCTTGTCTTTTCACTTCATTAGCAGTGTCTTTTGAAATCAGGAGTCTTTAATTTGATCAAGTTCAATTTATCAATGGTTTTCTGTTATTGCTCATGCTTTTGCTGTTGTATCTGAAGAGATTTTTGTCTAGCCCAAGGTCACAAAGATTTACTCCTGTGGTTTCGTATAAGAATTTTATAGTTTTAACTTTTACGTTTAGGTCATTTTTGTTTTACATTTTGAGGTCATTTTTGTTGAAAGTGTGAGGTGTCCTAAATTCACCTCTTTGCATGTGGATACCCAGTTGTTTCAGTACCTTTAATTGAAAAAACCCTTTCTACATTCTATTGCCTTGGCGATTTTGTTGGAAATTAGTTGACCATACAAGTAAGGGTTTTTTTCTGGACTCTTAATATTGTTCTATTGATCTATTTTTCCACTGGGCTATCCTCATGTCAGTACCAGACTGTCTGGATGTTCATATCATTGTAATAAATTTTGAAATCAGGAGTGTAAGTCATCTGACTTTGTATTTCTTTTTCAACATTGTTTTGACCATTTTGAGTCCTTTGGATTTCCATATAAATTTTAGGATCCAGCTTATCAATTTTTGTAAAAAAGACAGCTGGGATTATGACTGGGATTGCATTTAATTTGTAGATGAATTGGGGTGATGGTGGTATTGCCAGCTTAACAGTATTGAGCCTTCCAATCCATGAACATGGAATTGAGTTTTGAATGTTAAACCAAACTGGTATTCCTGTACCATCTGGTCACACACTGCTGGATTTGGTTTGCTTGTCTGTTCTTATGGAGACCCTGGTAGTTTCAGAGTTTAGGTCTTGGGGTGGTGAGGATGAACATTTTAACATGTTTAGTTTTAAAGTATATTTTATTGAACTCCCTTCTTCAGTGGTCTTTGTAGAGTTTTGAGTGCAGTCACCATTGAATTTCTGGCTGACTTAGCTGTCTTACTTACAAAGTGATTTTAGGCATTAACCAAGAAATTTCTAACTGCCTGCAACTTTCAGTATTAACAATTTGTGTTTGATATTTCTCCTTGAACTTTTCAAAACATAGTATTTTATCACTGTTGCCAAAATTTTCAGACACATTCCTGTGTATCTTAGCTGTTATAAAAGAAGAATATATATATTTTAATTTTAAAACATTTGGAATTATAATTAAACATCCTCAGTTACCTGGAGTATGAAAAATGTTTTAAACTGAGGTTTTACTCTGGAACATTATATTTTAATTTCTTTAGAAAATATATTAATTTACTTTCTAAGAAGCCCTTCATTAAATTACTGTAAAGCTACTTGTGACACCAACCCATTTAACTTTTTTTTTTTTTTTTTAAAAGAATAGATGGGGTCTCACCATGTTGGCCAGGTTGTTTTGAATTCTGGACCTCAGGCAATCCTCCTCCTTCAGCTTCCCAAAGTGCTAGAATTACAGGTGTGAGCTACCACACCTGTTCACGTTTAACTTTAATATGCTGAAACTTTTTAACAACAGGAACAGAATTGTCTGTGGTTTCTTTTACCTAGAATTCAGATGTATGGAAGATAAATGTGATGTTATAAACAGATTAAATGTCTGTCTTCATTTTAGAGGTCTTAGTTGGCTTGTTTTATAAGACAGTGAACCATAATTTTGAACATAATTATTTCTGAATTTTTATATCTGATAGACAAAGAATCGATGTTTTCAGTAATTCAGTGTTAAGCATAAAGAAGGAATGTTTTCTGTCATTGCAGTGGGTTTCTTTTTGGTTGCTTTTGAATTATTAGGTGATCATCAGAGAGAAATTATTTATGGAAAGAAATCTCAGGGAGATGATCTTGATACTATGAACACACGGAATATTTCCCATCTGTTGTTTATACAAGTGATCAAGTAGGTGGTGTACTGTACATTGATAGAGAAATGTAGTGTCTTTGTATCCAACATTTCAGATGACTTTTTTTTTTTTTTGTAAACTAATTGTAGACAGTCGAAAATAACCAGTCTCATAATTAGCGTTTGAAGTTTGAAAATTTGGTTGTTGGTAAATCACATTCTGGCTAAAGATGTTAAAGGATGTTACAAGGTATCCGCTAGCGGAAGAGGGAGGCATTTTTCATTTGAAAAATACATTACCAACCAGGCAAAATAAAATTATTGTTTCACAAATTGCTTAAAGACTGTGTTAAAGAAAAATGATCAGAACTGTAAATGTTTCATTTATAGAAGGCTTATTTTTTTTACTATCCTGCTTTTTCAGGTTTTACACACGCTGGAAAGATTGGGAATCATGGTATTCTCAGAGCTTTGGTTTACATTTTTCCTTGAGAGAAGAACAGTGGCAAGAAGACTGGGCATTTATACTCTCTCTTGCTAGTCAGGTGAGGATGCTTCAAGTCTCGTTGCTTCTATGAGAAAAGTGAGCATGTAGTCTAAATTGATTGATTTGAGCAAACCATTTTGGGGGCAGTGTGGTCAAAGAAAAGAATGCTTGACTTGATATCAGTCGACTTGGGTTCTAGTGATGACTGCTATATATCAAATAAATAGCATAGTAAGTATAGATGACCATAGCAAGTCCTCACTGCAGAACAGGGGAGAGAGTAATATGTGTTGTTATATTGAATGATTAAAAAACATCAAAAAGTGAAAGCTGTGCTGTGACGGTTACATACACTAGATAGTCTTGGGATGGCTCTCCATTCCTGCAGCATAGGCTTGAATGCCTATGGTACCTATCCAGGTGAGCTCTGTTCTGTCTCTGGGGACACTTACTCAAGATTACTGAACTGGTAGGTACTTGCATTGCTGTTGCTGATCTCTCAGGCCCTGAGGATCCAGTTGTCAATCTTTATAATGCTCCCTGTGGTGAGGCAATACCTGTGTCATGTAGGCAAAGGGAAAGGGTAGTTTAGCTTACTCTGAACTAATTAGCATCAATAGGAATGGTTTCTGATTAATGTGGGAATGAATTTTTCCAAGTTTGCTAACCCCTTTTTATTAATGAAGGCTTCCTGTAACATGGAACTGTATAGGGTTGTCCCTTAGACTCTTGGTTTCATGCTTTATTTTATGACGCACTTCAGTATACCAAACTAAAGTACAAATATAGATACAACCACTCCTTTTTCTTCCCATAAAGCACCATGGTTCATTTGAACTTAGAGAAGGAGGTACCCCATCTTTGGGTAATTTGGGCAGGATTCATAGTGGTTGATTTACATGAGACACATTATCTCACACCATGCATTGTAGCTCGATGATGGACCCATTTAATATTAGTAGTCACGAGTTAGGTGACACTGCCATTTACATTTGCATGAAACAGGCTCACTTTTTTATTTCAGGAGGACTTTGTTGTAGGTAGTGCTTTCACAGTAACTTAACCAGAATGTGATAATAAAGCATCCTTAGCTATCTGAATTTCTGGTTCCTGAGGTTGGAGAGTTAGTGGTGAGGTTGGGTAGCAAGGGATATTTCAAAATATGTATGCACGTCTATATAATTTGTGAGTTTGGATGGTGAATGATATTTGCATGTAGCCTTTGTAGATTTCTTTTACAGTTCTATTGGATTTATTATTTGAGGAATCAAATGCTGCTTTGACAATTTTTTCTTTCTTAAAAACCAACTGTGATAGTATACTAAAGGGGAGTTAGTATTATTTTTTACACATCAGTTTTCCAGGAGTGGTAATAAAATGTTTTAAGTTTTTGTTTTGTTTTGTACAGCCTGGAGCAAGCTTGGAGCAGACGCACATTTTTGTACTGGCACATATTCTTAGACGACCAATTATAGTTTATGGAGTAAAATATTATAAGAGTTTCCGGGGAGAAACTTTAGGATATACTCGGTTTCAAGGTAAGCCATTATTCAGGAGCATTTTACAAGTTTCTTTGAACAGAATGGCTCAGATGTCAGAAAGGAGCAGTGGACAGGGGAATGTGAACTAGGGCAGTGAGGGAGTGGCTCTTTCTTCCCGTAACTGTTGGGATTTTCTTCCCTCTCTTTCCAGGTGTTTATCTGCCTTTGTTGTGGGAACAGAGTTTTTGTTGGAAAAGTCCGATTGCTCTGGGGTATACAAGGGGCCACTTCTCTGCTTTGGTTGCCATGGAAAATGATGGCTATGGCAACCGAGGTGCTGGTGCTAATCTGAATACTGATGATGATGTCACCATCACATTTTTGCCTCTGGTTGACAGTGAAAGGAAGCTACTCCACGTGCACTTCCTTTCTGCTCAGGAGGTAAGCAGTGTCTTTCTCCCATGAACTATTTCTAGTAGTGACCTTGTACCAGAAAGAGCCTGAGGTGCCTTTCAGGTGTGGTTTTATCTGCACTGTCACTTAATTTCTGAATGTGATTGTAGTAATTGCTGAAGATACCTGTTATACTTTGAAATTTACCTTTTCAAAACTGCTGTATGGGGGACACATCAAGGAACTTAAGGTGGTGATGGGTTTTAAAAAGTAAAGATGAGGTTTGTGATTTAAATACGGCATTTAGGGAATGAAGCAAGTTTTTATCTGAAAGCAGAGTTCCAAGAATTGCAGGGCCAGTGTGGTTTAAGAGGAGTAAGCAACAGGGAAAGAGAGAGGGTAGGCGGCAGTGGAGGGAGGGAGGGAGGGAGGTCAGAGAGGATAGGGATGGGGTGGAGTTCACTGAAGGCTTTTTAAAGCTTTGGGTTTTACTCTGGATAGTGTGGTAAGCCAATGGCTAGTTTACCGAGAAGAGGAACATTTGGGGCTCTGGTGCAGTGGCAGGAGCAGGAATACCAGGTATTGTAGATGAAGGGGAGTGAAAGGGTAGTATAGATCAGACGGGAGGTGGTGAGAAGGTACAAAAACAGCGCTCTTTCAGAAAGCCAGTGTTCTTAGAAAAGTATTGGTCTTTTATTCAATATACTAGTAATTATCATAAAACGTTTATAATCACAACATGAAGAAAAATTCATAGACCGTAACTTGTATAATTTCAGCTTGTACATAATTGACTAAGTAAACTTACCTTGTCATGTGTTTGAAGCTGTGGCTTGCCAGGATCAGTTTATTAGGACATTTGTTTTTTGTTATTTTATCTAACAGATTACCCTCTAGTGTGCTTTTCTCTTTAGTTTTTTTCTGAAAAATTTGCCATTGATGTCTTTTTAAATTTAACCAGAGCAAAATGGACTTTAAACACAAAACTTCCAAGAGATCAAAACCATGTGAAAAGTTGATTGCTTTGGCCTTTTCATGAGTTAGCATACCAGCTGTCAGTTTCCACGTCACATTCCTACCAAGTCTCTGATCTGTTGTATGATTTTTCCCTTTGTCTTCATATTCCTCCAAAAGCTAGGTAATGAGGAACAGCAAGAAAAACTGCTCAGGGAGTGGCTGGACTGCTGTGTGACAGAGGGGGGAGTTCTGGTCGCCATGCAGAAGAGCTCTCGGCGGCGAAATCACCCCCTGGTCACTCAGATGGTAGAAAAATGGCTTGACCGCTACCGACAGATCCGGCCGTGTACATCCCTGTCCGATGGAGAGGAAGATGAGGATGATGAAGATGAATGACAAAAAAATCGAACAGCAGAAGACCAAGGCATCAGATCTGTAATGACCCTAAAGTTAGTGTGGTGCTCGAAGCAGAGTCGACATCATGGAATGAACCAAATCTGGCAGGATCTGCTCGGGGAAGTGTTTTCCTGGACCACACACACCTAATGGAGATAATGCCTCTGCTGCGTGATGGGACAGAGAACTTTAGTTGGACTACAGTTTGTAAAAAAAAAAAAAAACCTAATTTTATTAAGACAGAACTTTTTTTCCTTTCAAATTGTAAATCTGTCTATAAATGTAACGCATGTGGTTGTGTAAGAAATTGTGTAATAGGAAAAGTTGTACCAGCATCTTCATATTATTGAGAAAATTTTTTCAGCATGGGCACTTAGAAAAAGCACATGGCAAATGGCTCTTTGTTCCTTTAAGATATTATTTCAGTAGAACCTGACATTCTACTTTAACCTTAAAAGATCCATCTAAGTCTCAGAGATCTGGAAACGTTTTGTACAGATTATCTACACCAAAACATAAAAATAACCTTTTATTTTATTAATGATTTAGTTCCTGTTGTGCCCAATCCAATCAAATCTTTTAGGAACAAACTGCAAGAAGAGCTAAGAATGTTTTAGAGTGAACTAAATATAGACATTGCTTACTTGTTTTGAAGAGGGTTTTGGTTTTGGTTATTGTGTCTTCAGTTTTCTGATATGCCCCCTTTCGATATTTAGATATTTATTTGTTGGGAAGAATACCTTAAAATGAGGGTTCTTATTCCAGATTCTGGGCAGTGGTCTGAGTAGTTTTTTTCCTGGATGAAAAGGGAGCAAGCCCACTTGTCACTAAATGAATTGTGTGCAGTTTGCTCACTTGGACTCCATCCACAGTGTACTACTCTCAAATTGCCATGCCATAGGCCTTCGGATTCTTCCTTTCATCACCTCTGCTCTAAGCAAATCTTGTTAGAAGGGCATGGCATGCCTTTGCTTAGGCAGATTGGGAACACCCATTCACTACAGAATAAAGATTTTAAAAATGCAATAAGGTGGTAAATGCATTCTATGAAGAATTTCTCAGTGTTTAGTCTGAGAATTTTTGCATGTTGGTTAATTGTGGCCATTCTTATTTAAAGTTAAAATTATAATCTTAGGTAGAAAAACTTTTTTATAAGAAGTATTATTTGACCACTTCAGGTATACATTCAATACTGGGTAAAAATTTCAGACCTATCTCAGGAACACAGAAATACTTGGTGTCCTGATAAGCACTTTCTAGACTATTGATGTGGCCAGGAATTTGGAAGGATCACACACACACACACACACACACTCACACACACGCACACACACACACATATTTTTTTTTCCCTTCCCTGTGATGAAAAGGCTGTGAAAACCTTAAAGTATTTGCTTGTTTTTTAGTTGATAATGAAATGTGTACAACCTCAAATTTGCTGCCAGAATGATACTAAAAATAGAAAAATACCCACAAAACTGTCATGTCTTTAGTTCCGCCCCCCAAAAACTCAGTAAAAAAGTGTTCCCAGGATGAAAAGATCATTTTTGCTGCATGCTAAATCTTGCAGGAAAAAATGATTTTTGTAGTATGATTCCGTAGAAATGAATCTTTGATATAATGTAAATGCTGCTGTTTCAAGTGGTGAATGTGTTCTTAAAAATGGGCTATACTGTTTGCTTTCATTTTGGCCAATAATTAGTTAATCGAGTTTGTAGAAAATGTTAGCATTCTGACTACTTAGCATCTGTAGTAACTTTTCTCTATGTATAGGGATAATTTTTTAGTGGGCAGAGATCCTGTTCTAGTTGCCTGTTAAGCAAAATCTGCCCTCCCAATTGAAGAAGCCAAAGAGAATTGTTCGGGGGAGAAGCATGTAGCCATTGCAGTCTGCGTTGCAGCAGCGTTGTCCAGCGAGTGTATGCTCCGTACTTAGCTTCTACTGTGTGTCGTGGTTTGGTGAGTGTTGTTTCCTCTGCGCGCTCTATTTATTTATTTATTATCAGTGACCCTGACCACATAGTGTGATAGGTGCAGCATTCTTCCCTGTGGGAAAGAATTAAAGATGGTTCCATTTCCTAGGCTACAGACAGGAATGGGGCTCTAAATGGTTTTCATAGACTGGCTGTTAAAGGCCAAAATTTTTGGTAAATCAATGCTGTATTATGCTCTTGAACTATTAAACAGCCATAATTATTGTCCCAAGATAGAATATAGTCCTTTTTCAAAGATTATACATGGCTAGGTGACAGACTCTGATAAATGATTGACTCTGGATAGTAAGTCATACCTTCGCTCTGTGGACTTGATGGTTCTTTGCATAGAGCAAACAGAGCATGGCATTTTGTTTTGACCTGTTCTTCCTTGGAGTCAAATTCATATACATGTATATAAATTTTGGTTTGGGCAACCAAGATCTAATTAAACAAAACCCAGGTGGGCCATGGACTCAGACCTGCCTTATGTTTTTGACTCTTAGGTTCCTCGTGTCCCAGACTTCTTCACGTATGTGAAGGTAAGATACTCTGTGTGCGCTTGGCCTCCTTTCCACGCATATTTCATAGTCTCTTTGAGAGTGGTTACAAAGATGTTAAACTACCTTTTTGTTTCCTGGGGTGACAGGTCAGTAACTATGAGTGCCGTCTCTCTCCATGTGAGCTTGTGTTAATGGACACTTTTATGGTAGAGTTGGGATGGGGCCACCACCTTAGAGTGAGCAGACAAGGCCAGGCAAGCCAAAGGCTGTAAGACACCATGAGTTTTTTGTTTTGTTTTAATGGGAAGGGAAGTATAAGGAAGAGCTCAGAGGGAGTTTGATACCTGGAATTGTTGGACTTAATTGACACTTAGCAGACACTTAGTATAAAGGTTTAATTCTATTTAAAAAGAAGATCCATTAAATCAACTTCAAGTTCTTAACTCATGGGACTATTTTGCAACACTTCTTTGTAAATATTTTGTTAGGTTATTGGCAAAACAGTTTCAAGGGTCACTTCCCTGCCTTGAACCAGGTCCAGGCCATTTTGCTTTGGGGTAAATTAAAATCAGAACTCTTAAGTTGAGCAACTTTTTTTTTTTTTTTTTTGAATGTAAGACTTAGCTCTAACCCACCATTTACATCTTAAGGATGGCATGACTTGATAATGATGGACTTGTGTGAGGTTTTGATTTTTCAATTAAACTTTGTATCACATGAGGTAATTGTCAGCGTTCTTGAGTCTGGTTATGGAATAGGCAGAACCCTGTAGTAACAAGAGTTGGAAACTGGCTAATTGACAATGCAGTTGCCTTAAACATCTCAAGTAGAGCACTTTTACATTAGTGAGATGTACTTGAATTTCAGAACTTAACAAATTTTAATTACTTTTTATTGAAAACTGCACTGAACGCTAAATGTCCACCTTTACAATAAACAAATACAGTAACGGTAACTCACACTAAAACAAAACATACTTCTGATAGCCATTATTTTTCTGTTTGGGACAATTTTAAAGTTTTTCTTTTGTCACAAAAACAGGAATGTACCTATACAAAGGCTCAAAATAGGCCATCTTTTTAAACAAAAAGGCAATGATTCACAAAAGACTATGAGCAGAACATGGAACTAGCTGATACAAATCTAATAGGATTTGTTAAAATCAGTCACATCTAATACATCTGAAGTGTTCTTGTATAAAATATCACGTGAAGAAAAGAAGACTTTATCAATGTCTAAAAAAGTGGGTTTGTTCATAGACAATCTGACAAGTTACCATAAAAAGTGTTTCCTGAGACATAAGGAAATGCAACATTATTCTTCTTGAACCCTTTCAGCTCAAGACTTTCCACTCAATAAAATAGCAGAGGATCTGAAACTGAGAAAATATATTTGAGTACAAACAGCTTGTGAAACTTAATACTTTTTTTTTTTTTTCACATAATCAGAAGATTTTACTGAACTTACAACCAACTTGCCGGCTCAGAATGCAGTTCAGGTGTGAGAGACGCTTTTCTGTACAGGAGCCTGTACTGTCTTCAATCCTATGCGTGCAGGTGTCTACCACAGGCAAACAGTTTTCTCCCCATTTTGTAGTCATGTGATTTTCCTATTAGCAAAAAGAGGTCTCCAGCCCCTGTAGACTTAAGGGACTCAAGTCACAGGATGGGGATTTCCTCTCAATATTTTTTATTTTGTTGTTTGAACTCTTGATGCAACATTGTAGAGCAGGGTGTTCAGGACCTGCTGTGCCCAAGGGACTGAGAAAGAAAAAAGCTCTATTTATTCTTTGTGATTTGATGCACAGATGAAAAACTTAACACACAATAACAGAAGTTGGTCGTTAATAAATCACATCCTAGTCTTTCAGCGCTTCCGTAAGCAGACGACATCTTCAGTTTTCTAGCTCTTGTAGTTTTAACACTGCAACATCAATGATGCATATGTCCAGAATCAGTTACAAAGACCATCAGATTCTTTTTCTCTTAGTTCATCTATTTTTCACTGTCTCTTGGTCCCAAGTGTATCTGAATGATTACCTTCTGGCATTCTCTGCTATTGCTCGTTGGGGTGCTCTCGATTGTCCCCATGTTTTGTGGGCTGGTTGGGAGAGGGCGCTTGGGAAGGATGTGCCACTGTCGGGAGGTTGTGAGTCACTGGGATGCCTCCAGGGATGATCCCTTCCATGGCTGCAGGAAGTCCTCCTGGAGCCACCCCCACGATGCCTGGCGGATATCTAAGGAACACACAGAAATAGGGCCTAGTAAGTTGAGGGCAGAGTTGCCAAGCTCTTAGCTCTTTTCCTACTTCTAGCATTCTGACAGGCAGTTTTGCCAGGCTGTCCAGGCTGGTCTCAAACTCTTGAGCTCAAGTGATTCCCCCCCATAGGCCTCCCAGAGTCCTGGGAGTACAGGCTAGAGACACCACGCCTGGCTGCTAATAATTATTTTTTTTTTTTTGGAGACAGAGTCTCACCCTGTTGCCAGGCTGGAGTGCAGTGAGTGGCGTGAGCTCTGCCTCCTGGGTTAAAGTGATTCTCCTGCCTCAGCCTCCCGAGTAGCTGGGACTACAGGTGCACGCTACCACACCCAGCTAATTTTTGTATTTTTGTTAGAGACGGGGTTTTACCATGTTGGCCAGGATGGTCTCAATCTCCTGACCTTGTGATCCGCCCGCCTCAGCCTCCCAAAGTGCTGGGATTACAGGCGTGAGCCACTGCGCCCGGCCCTGGCTAACAATTTTTATGGGACAGTTTATCCTCCCTATCCCCAAAGCAAGGAGAAGTCTCAAACACTGCCAACTAATTTATGAAAACTAGTCCAATCAAAACACGGGGCCACTAATTTTGTAGCTTTTAGATAACAAGATACTAGCCCATACTAATTATGAACGTGGATATACTCTACTGTTTAAAAAAAACACTCTGTACAAAATGGACTCCCAAATGTTCACCAGTTACTTCTGACTGATAAAATGATTTCCCAACAGAGCACAATGGACTCTTAGGGACTGAATGTTTGTCTCCCTCCATCCCCCTAATTCCAGTTCAAATCCCACACCTCCAAGGTGATGACCTTAAGAGGTAAAGCCCTTGGGAAGTGACTGGTCAGGAAATGCCTGGGTCATGAATGGGATGAGTGCCCTTAGAGAAGGGAGTCTAGTTAGTGCTCTGGCCCTCTCTCTGCCACATGAGGATGCAGGAAGAAGCTGACGGTCAGCTGCCTGGCCCTCTCCAGAACCTGACCATGATGGCAGCCTCATCTCAGACTTCCAGCCTCCAGAACTGCAAGACATTTCTTCACAAGCCACCCAGTCAATGCTACTCAATTACGGCAGCCAGAACTCACTCAACTTTCTAGGCTGGTTGGTTACAGACTCCCATGGCCTGGGATGGGAAAGTGGTACGCTTGCTGGCTGTTGGCTGGGGGGCCGCCTTCCTCAGAACGCCCAGGCTTGGGCTGGTTTTATATTGCAAGCACGAGGTGCTGTGTGAGGACATACTGCATTCACCACCCACAGAACATAGGGTCCTCGGGCAAAGTGGGACTCAGTGTATTCACACAGACTTAGGAGGCAGGGCATAGTTCCCAAACCCTTTATCATCCAGGTAGAGGAGGCATCTCACTGTGGAAGCCACCCTGCCATCCTGTCACCACCAGTCAGAAATCCCCAAGACCTTCAGAAGGACTCTGGTCATGAGGGTCCCCTTCCAGTCCCTTCTCCTCAGTGCACATATACTGTTCTAGGGGGCCTAAGAGCCCCGGCTTACGTGAAGGATAAATACAATGGTGACATGAAGAGGTGGGCCCCCAACTTCACCCAACAGGGGGATCTGATGCTATGATGGGCTTGAAAATACTTGTGAGGACCAAAAGGATGGGACTGGAGGAAATGTGAAGACAGCCACGTGACCTGCAAGCACCGCATAGCTGCTTCAGGGTCGGAGCCTTCATTACACAAACTAAACGCACCCTGGTCGTCACTATGGCTATAGCAGGGGACGTGTGGCAATGTCTGGAAACATTTGCAATCATCATGAGTGGGAGTGGGAGGTGCTACTGGCATCCCGTGGGTAGAGGCCAGGGATGTTGCTAAACGTCCTAGAATGCACAGGCCAGGCGAATGAAGAGAATGATCGGCCCCAAACGTATCTATTGCCAAGAGCTAGAAACCCTGGTTTAGAGTATGTAAAAATTTTTCTTAAGATTCAAGGCTGCAACTTTATGCATGAAGGGGCTACTGATTTCCTGGGACTCCAGCAATAATGTTGGGATGGGGGTGGTAGGGGGTGGGAGAAAACCGACTCGTGGATGGGAAATACCAGAAAAGAAACCACCTCCCTGGGAGGGCTCCTGTCTTTACCCCACTCTGCGTTCCCGAGTACGGCTCGTTTCTCGGCTGACCCAAACTACAGGCATCATTCTTAGCATGTGGACAAGGTCATTATCCTGAGTTGATTGTACCTTCATTGGCCAGAATGCCTTCCGTGGACATAAGATTCAAATTAGAAAATGAACTTGCTCACAGACCTGTGCACTTGAACATCTTATCTATATAAGCCTTTCTCTTTGAGAAGCCTTTTCTTTTTTGGTGGTTGGGGGAGCGGGAGGCGGGGTTATCTCACTCTGTGGCCCAGGCTGGAGGGCAGTGGGTGATCTCGGCTCACTGCAGTCTCCACCTCTCAGGTTCAAGCAACTCTCCCGCCTCAGCCTCCCTAGCAGCTGAGATTACAGGTGTGTGCTACCACGCGTGGCTGAGAAGCCTTTTGGTTCTAAGATGGCTTTAGAATGAAAGGCAGTTCCTAGCACCTGTGGTCAATCACATGTGACCGAACCCACTCCCTTTTAAAATAGCTTCTGTTCCATGAAATTAGGCATTGGAAGACCTGAGGGGGCAGTGCACACAGTTCCTGCTGAGAAGGCCAATCGTTGTGGCCCTGCTGTAGCATCTGCGGGAGGTAAGCTTCCCAC